ATTACCACTAGCTCAAAAAGTCTGTGTGTGTGTGTCTGTCTATCTGTCTGTCTGTCTATCTCCACTGGGAAATGAACCAGGGCCTTGTACGTGGATAGGCAAAAACTATATCCCTAGCCCCATTTTAAAAAGCTTAATTTTGACCTTTTGCCTCATTGCACCCTTAAAAGCAAGATGGGTCACCAACAGCTCTATTGGAGTCACCTGAGAAAATTTGGCCAGGGTTCTCCCTCTTGTGGCATATGCTCAAACTGGCATGGGCTGATCTGGAAATATTGCGCCAACCTGTCCCTGCAGTGTTTCATCAGTACGTGAAGGATATAGGCTTCATTAAGTTGGACTAAGTGATCTTCCTCAAATGGATTGCCCAAGACAACCACCCAATGAAAGAGAACATTGTAAGCCTTTGTACATAAAATAAAGTTCTAAAAACTTCCAAAAAAAAAAAAAAGCTTAATTTTGAGACAAGGTCTCACTTAATTGTCTAAACTAGCCTTGAACTTGCAATCTTCTTGCTGCTCTAGCTGAGATTACAGATGTGCACCACCATACCCAGCCAAAAGTTGTCTTAAATGCAGTTGTCTACATTTGCTTTCTTGAAACTCCCTGAAAGTGAGAGTGAATGGATACCCTGACCCCTCCTGGGGCCCAAACCCAGCGCTTTGCACATGCTCTATCACTGAGCTCCTGTAAAGGGATTTAAATTTTTTTAACCAAAATAGTGCTAATTTATTATTTACAAAAACTTACCTGCTGTAAGTATTTTGAGGAAAAACTATTTACACTGGGAACATTAATGAAATACCTTAAGACTTAACCTAGGAAAAAAAATGCTACCCTCAATGATAGCCCCTATTCAAGGGAACAAACATATAATAATAGGATTTTTTAATATTTAATTTTTAGTTTTATGTGGACACAATATCTTTATTTTTATGTGGTGCTGAGGATCAAACCCAGTGCCTCATGCATGCCTGGCGAGCGTGCTACCACTTGAGCCACATCCCCAGCCCAGTAATAGGATTTTTAAAGTATAACAGACTCTCCTTGTAAACCCAGTGGCTTGGGAGCTGAGGCAGGAGGATTGTGAGTTCAAAGCCAGTCTCGGCAAAATCGAGGTGCTAAGCAACTCAGTGAGATCCTCTATCTAAATAAAAATACAAAATAGGGCTGGGGTGGCTCAGTGTGTTGACTTCAATCCCTTGTACGCAACCCACCCCCCGCCCCGAAAAAAAAAAAACAGTAATAGACTCTTAAGGATAAAGGGAAATTAATAATAGAAATAAAGTTATGTAAAATCAGTAGCAAAGGGCTCAGCTATTTGTGTTACCAGAGACAAGAACTTCTGGTTCAGTGACAATAGAAACTAAACTGAGCCAAGTAAGTAGTAGCATACAAAAGCAAGGCTTTCATTGGAGCTTCAACTGAAGGGAGACATAACTTTAAAAAAAAATTTTTTAGTTGTAGATGGACACAATACCTTTTATTTTTATGTGGTGCTGAGGATCAAACCCAGTGCCTCACATGTGTAAGCAAGTGTTCTACCTTTGAGCCACAACCCTAGCCCTGACATAAGCTTTTTATTGATTTTCTGGGATAGGCTAAAGTCATAATCTTCCACTGGCCAGGGGTAACATTCCAAAAGATGTTTCTCTTTGCACAGATTTGTACCACCAGGCAGTATTGGTCAACTTGTCCAAACGTGAATTACTTTCTTACAGCTAGTGCCATAATCCTGTGCAAATATCCTGGCCTTGTGACTCCTTAGGATAGGATTGAAAGGACTGGGGGATGTTACAGCTGCTGAGAAAACACAAGAGTGGGGTAGAAGAAAATACACACCAGCTCTGATGGCAATGGTCATCTCTACATACAGAGCTGACCCAAAAGTTAGGGCAGCAAAGGGGACAAATGCAATACAAAGACAGAGATGCCAGGTCTTTTTATCCTGGCCCAATCACACAGACATCTGCAAGGTCAATTGAAGAATCAATGTTTTCAGTGAAAGGGTCCTTAAGCCCTAGAAAAGTAGCCTAAGCAACCATTATCATCATAACCCACAGGTCAGAGATAATCCACAGCAAAGTTAATGGGAAATTAGTCTATCACCCAGCTGTGTGATTCCATTTTTAAAGTTAAATTGACTAAGAATAAGTGAAGGGGCTGGGATTGTGGCTCAGTGGTAGAGCTCTTGTCTAGCATGTGAGAGGCCCTGGGTTCAATCCTCAGCACCGCATAAAAATAAATAAACAAAATAAAGGTATTGTGTCCAGCTACTTCTAAAAAATAAATATTAAAAAAAAGAACAAGTGAAGCTAGAGGGGTTTATTTAGGTATTTCCCCAGTAACAATTTCATCATGTACAAACAGTCTGCTTCTGTGGTTTTATCAGGGTCTCATGACAGTCTGTTGAAAAGGGCACAAGGCAGAGAAGCAACATGCCGTGATACAGAGGGTAACAGTTTTATGGTGCTCAAGGGTATATTTCACTGTCCCAGCTTTTTTGACCCATCATGGTTTCCTGCTTTTGACTTTCATTTGGATCAGCTCAATGCTAAGCCAGTCAGGAGCCAAGCCAATAGGCAATCCTGTTGTATCAGAGAACCCTCTAAAAGGCTCATAAAATGTTTTCTGGAAGTAGGGTGTAAAAAGAGCATCTAAAAGAATTGTAAATTTATTTAGAAATGAGTTATAACCTTTTACCACCCTCCCTCTCCCCAACCTAATGCTGAAGGGTTTTTGTTCTGGGGAAAGTAAAACAGGGTTTTTGTATCTGAGGGCACAGGGTACTTAAAAGAGGAATATTGAGTGACAATAATACTGAATTGAGACACACCCACAAACTTACTCTCCCTCCTGATTTTCAACAAACTTGGGAATGGCTCTACATATGTTGTTGTTGTTGCTCTACTAAATATTCAGTGTTTAGAAGGGCTGGGTGCAGTGGTGTACGCCTGTAATCCCAGCAGCTCTGGAGGCCGAGGCAGGAGGATCATGAGTTCAAAGGTAGCCTCAGCAATTTAGTGAGGCCCTAAGCAACTCATTGAGATCTGGTCTCTAAATAAATACAAAAAAGGACTGGGATGTGGCTCAGTGGTGGAATACGCCTGAGTTCAATCCCCGGTACAAAAAAAAAAAAAAAAAAAATTCAGTGTGTAGAAAACCAGGTTTATTCAAAGCCAGCTTCTGAGGAAGAGATGAGGCCTGTCTAATATCCATCTTCTGGGGGATCAAGGGCACAGAAAGCTTTTATGGGAGTGGAATATTAGGGCAAAAGGATAGGAATTTCACAGGTTCACTCTACCTGGACATAAAGGCATTAACTCCTTATCATATCAAAGGGAACCCTAGGAGAGGAGAAGCATTGCTGAGGGCTTTCTGTAGAATTTATAGTACCAAAAGAAGGGATGTTAGAGATGGAGGAATAGATTGGAGAAATGGTGGGGAGGTGAGAAGGAAGTAGCTCTAAGAAAAACAAATCAACCATCTTTTCCAGGAAATACTTTTGTTTAAAAAATGTCTCCCCTTGGGTTGGGACTGTGGCTCAGAGGCAAAGTGCTTGCCTGGCACATATGAGGCACTGGGTCCGATCTTTAGTACCACATTGAAAAAAAAAAAAAAAGTAAATAAAATAAAGTCATGTTGTCCATCTATAATTACAAAAAAAAAGTTTAAAAATGTCTCCCCCATTTGGGTGCAGCCTCCAGAGGCTGGAGATACTGTGGCAGGAGGATTCCAAGTTCAAGGCCAGCCAGCCAAGGCACTAACTTAGTGAGATGAAGTATCAAAAAAAGAAAAGAAAGACTGTGGATGTAACTTGGTGGTAGAGCACCCCTAGGTTCAATCCCCAGTACTGGGGGGAAAAATTATGACACCAAAAACAAACAAAAAAATCTATCCCTGAATTGCTCTGTTACAGAGGGACTCAGAACTTTCAACTTTAAGTATGAACAGGTAGGTAATCAAGGATCTCCAACACATTACGCAAGCCAGCTCAAAACCAACAGAAGAAAAATAAATTTGAAAGAAACAATGAGTTCTGAAAAAACACTTTTTAAAATTATTTGTTGCGTTTCATGACTAAACACTCAAAAGTTGCTCCAGATGAACTGGGTTGCACGAAATAACCACACAGAGACAGAGAAATACCTTTTTCTTTGGGTCCTGTGATGGCTCCTCCGACCTTAGGGGTCCTTGGAAAGAGGAAGTGCTGAACCCTTTTAGTGGGAAGAAATCATTCAAATGAGGCAAGGAGTAGAATTACCAGGGAATGAGTGAGTGTAGCTCAACCCTTCTGGGTGCTGCCTACTCCTAGAGCCACTCCCAGGGCTACACCTTATTATCCCGAGCTAGGGAAAAGACCCGGTCACGAGTCATGGCAGACTACAGTGACCCTTCAGATCCCCGTGGTGCATCAGGACTTAAAGGTGCGTGTATTTGGAGTAGCTCCCTGCAATTATTATTAATATCAGAGCTGAAAGATAATATTGCAGGGCTGTGGCTTGGCTCAGCGGGAGAGAGCTTGCCTAGCATGGGCAAGGCCGTGGGTTCGATCTCCAACACCACATAAAAATAAATTAAAGATAAAGATGTTGTGTCCAACTACAACTAAAAAATAAATATTAAAAAAAAAGAAAGATAATATTGCCATAAGAGATCGCTTTGACAGCAGCTAAGTCAATTGGAGCCTAGCAAGACTGGAAAAGCTTTAAGAAAAAGTTGACTGTGAAGAACTGAACTAAGGGAACACTAGTGGAAAATGACATTGATATTTTGGAAATGTAAATTCAAGGACCCTCATAGGAAACATTCAGAGTCCCTGAGAATGAGGTCCAGGAATTTGAATTTTTATTTTTTTGCACTTGGAGCCCTTTACCACTGAGTACATCTGATAGGGTACAAACAGATATGAGTCGTGGGACCATGAGGGTAAGGAAATAATTCTATAAATTAGGCCCACTGTGCTTCTTTTCCAAGAAGCTATTTACCTGCAGCCCTACCTGGGTTAAGTAGACAGGATATGGCACATTCCTCAGCAAACTACGTGTTACCTGCAGGAGAAATGCAGGACCCAGTTAATGTTGATAAGGAACCCAAGTTACCCTGAGGGTGGAAATTTTGTGGCCCTTTACCCAGACCAGATCCTGAAACTCAGGGGGTACGGATAATTCCCTCTAACCATAAAATCTGTAAGAATCTTTGGCTAAGAATCCAATTAGAACCGGTAGAGATGAGCCAAGGTGATCTAGAGTTGTCATGGCAGTGGGGATTTGAAAGTCTGATGTCATCTTCCTGTTAGTCAAAAGTCAAGAGGTGAACCTCACAGGACTCTCTGGAAACTTCTCTGGGATCCCCAATAAAACTGTAGTGCAGGAAAGGCACACTGTCTCTCTCCTCCCTGAGAGGACCCATTCTATCCCTAGAGTGTCCCTTTTCTCTTTTCCTGTCCCTTCAATAAACTCATGCCTGTTACTCTTGAGTGATGCATTTGATATCTGACTTGATAGCTAGAATTGGGCTTTAAAGGGGGGGGGTGTCTTTGTTCTACCTCAGTTTCCCAGAAGGCCATAGCTCTTAACACATCCTCAGTCCTTTTTCAGTCTTAAGTTGTTTAGGTCCTTGCTAAATTGCTGAGGCTGGCCTCAAACTTGTAATCATTCTGCCTACCCTTCCAAATTGTTGGTATTACAGGCATGCAGCACCACACCTGGCAGAATGCCTTAAAACAACAACAACAACAACTATATCCAGTGCCTTTTTTTTTCCTTTTCTTTTTTAAAAATATATTTTTAATATATTCTCAGGGAATATGGTGGCACATGCCTGTGATTGCTTGTTCCACATTTGGAACTGGAGGACATATGGTCTTACATGAATATGAGAGGGTAAGAAAGATGGAATTAACCATCAGGCTGAGTAGATTATGGTGTCATTCCCAAACATGGAAACAAAGACAAGACACATCTTTTGCATCACCCCCCTCCAAATAAACAAACAAAAAAGGTCATGTTAGTTTGAGAAGCTTGTGATAAGCTGTAAAAGTGCAGTTGAGTTGAGATCTTTTCCTGCTTGTTTTAAAAAACATGTCACAGCTTGCCTGTCATCAACAACTAAGGACATATCCATTCTAGGCGTTTTCAGGTACTGTAGGTGCTGAGCTGCTCTCACCCCTACTCCTGAAAAGAAAACGAAACAGAAGCCTGATTCTCTCCTCTCTGCTACCATACAACAACTTAACAAGTGTTACCTGCAGCCAAGCAAGAGACTCCGCCTGGCCTGGATCCTGGCTGGCTGGATTATGCTACCTACCGGCCTAAGCTGTAAGCAAAGGATGTAAAAGAAAAAAATGATTTTATGCAGTTTAATCAAAACGAGGAGAAGCAACTACCATGTTTCTCCACTGGTCCTACAGAATGGTTACAATTTATAGAAACAAAGATTAGGATGGATATAGATTATAGATTCTATATAGATTATAGAAACAAGCTCTAGGTTGTGCTTAGCCAGCCTAAGAATATTAGTTTAAGCTTCCTCGGCGCTTGTCTTCAGCATGAGGAAGTTTGGAAGTTCTATTTCACAGACACCACAGTTATTGTACTCAGGGCTTAGGGAATTCACTTCACCTCAGAACTGCTTTGTTTTCTTTACGGATCCTATTAAAAGTTGCAGATTTCTTAAAACGTCAATTTCATCATGAAAGGGACTTTGCTTGTAGGTTTCGCCACTGCAGTCACTGTCCCCATCAGTCTTGGGCAAAGTTCTCAGAAAATGTCGAGTGAATGAAAACCAATCATTATCATATTTCACAAAGATTTCTTCTTTATAGCCTTAGGAGACATTTTTATCCCCCCTTTATGAATGAGGAGACAGGGCGTCAAAATTCAAGACTCTTGTCCAGGGTTTTCTTGGCAAGTAGGAAAGGGTGAGATTTTACACTGATCACTCCAAAGTCCTTGCAATCCCTGTCCGAGATCCAGCGTGACTCGACTCAGCGCCTAGGCCGAGAATCGTTAGCAAGAACTCACGAAGTCGTCTCGGCTTTTCGCCACTGGTTTCGGAAGGGGCGAAACAGAGGTTACGGAAGGGGCCAGGCAGAGCTGCGCTACCATCCGGGGTCGCCGGCGTGACGTCAACCAGCGACACGGAAGATTTACTTGAAGTGCGGCACGACGGTGTAGCTTTACGGCTGCTGGGTAACTGCTGTGTCTCAGCGAGGAGTGTCCCGCGTGGGCTGTTGGGAAAAGTTCCGGGTCCGTCTGACCGCCCTGGGGGACCGTCCCAGTGAGTCGCTGCGGGGTGTCGGGCAGGGTTCTTTGAGCGGGAGGGGATGGATGGCGATTCCCCGCACAGGTTTGCTCAGCCCCAGAACCCCTCCTAGGCTTTGAGTTGGTGGGGTTTGATGGGCTGGTAAGGTGCGGATTAAACGTGACCTGTGTGATGTGCCGAGTCACTTCATTAAGTGGAAGTTAATACGCCTGTAATCCCAGCGACTCGGGAGGCTGTAGGATTACAGGCGTAGTTTATTTGGAAGTATGAGGTCAGCCTCAGCAATTTAGCAAGTCCCTGTCTCAAAATTTAAAATAAATGAATAAAGTTTTAAAAAGAGCTGGAGGTGTAGCTCAATGGTAAAGCGCCCTTGGGCTCAGTCCGTAACCCTTGCCCCGCAGTCGCTCCCCCCCCCACCCCGAAAAAAGAAATAAACTTGCTTTGCCTGCCACTTCCTAATGTGATTATGGAGCACAAATGAAAAAACTGTTTTGAAAGCTGTAAAGTGCGTTATTGTTAAACGTAGTTACATACTGAAGACGCAGGTGGATAAGGAAAAATTACTTACTCATCTTTAAAATACCCAATAACCTAGAAAGAGTCCTTATTTAACACTCTTCTTTCTCTTTGTTGTTTTTGTGGTGTGCTGGGGATTGAACCCAGAGTTTTGCACATGCTATTGTTGACAGTTTTAATACCTCTGATGACTAACGGCCTGTAAGTTGTAAAATAGCAAATAACTTAAACTTGATACCCGTTATATGTAAAATCTGCTTACCATATTTTTGTTGTTGCTTTTCTTATAAGGACCCAGAAATGTCTGGACAGCTAATAAGTAGAGTGCTCTTTATTGGAGAAATTATATATTTACAAATTAATGAATGAAAATGAAAAACTGGGACAAGATTGGATTTTCCCACTGGAAAACTGGAAATTAACCATAGAAAAACATATTATTATATTGATACCTGTGGTGAGTTGTTACAATTTAAAAATGGCATATTAGGGACTGGGGTGGTGGCTTAGTGATAGAGCACTTTCCTAGCATGTATGAGCCACTGAATATGATCCTCAGCACTATGTAAAAAAATAAAAAGTTATTTTGTCCATCTACAACTAAAAATATTTTTAAGTGCATTTTATTTTTTAAGATTTTAGGGTCTGGGGTTGTGGCTCAGTGGTAGAGTGCTTGCCTAGCAAGTGTGAAGCACTGGGTTTGATCCACAGCACCACATAAAAATAAATAAATAAAATATTCTGACCCATTTCAGGTGTGTTTCCTGTGCTGATAATGAGAGAGCATTTGGCTCTGTTATCCTTTTACCACGCTTCACTACTTTCATTCAATGAACCTTGCTCCAATTCCATTCCACCAACTGACTGAAGGTGGGTTCTATTTTAGATTTTCCTAAGGAAAGAGGATGTACTCATGAATACAACCAGCAATCTCTTAGCAGTAATAAATTTCACTGTAAAATGAAAAAAAATAAATAAATAAAATAAAGGTATGAAGTCCAACTACAACTAAAAAAAAAGAATTTATTTTATAATTCTGCTGTTACTTTGATATAATTCTGAGGAGTTTAATGTAGTTAATCAGGTTGTTATCACGTGGGAAATTAACTGTTGGATGTATTTTTGCGTTCAAGGTGGGAAAATGCATATTTTGCACCTAGACTAAATTTTGTAAGAATGCCTCAGTATGATATGTTATACAGTGTAGGCAGTTTGGTATTCATGTGTTACACAGCTTCATCAATCTGTAGCAGTAACTGAAGAAAAAGGAAAAAAAAATAAAGTGTGTGGTGCTTACTGGTTAGTTTTCAAATATATTTCCTTTTTATATTGTGGTCAGTTGAGAAAGAAGTCTACATATCTTTTTCATTCTCATTTCTGTATATGTTACATCCTTCAATTTTTTTAAGGCTCTAACTTAGTGCTAGTTTGGCTATATCAAGTTAATTTTTAACCTCGTTGCTATAAAGATACTATAAACATTTCTTATATTCACAGGTGCTACAGTTATGTATTTTGATAGTTATTTTTATGAGGTTTTCCCTCTCCTTGGACTAAATTCCTAAAGCTCCCTTTCACCCTAATATTTTTGTGTATGGCTAGAGTCCTCTGCACCAATATTTGGATAAACTTAAATGAAATGACTCTTCAGGAATTGGTACATCAGGCTGCTTCTCTTTATTTGGACAAAATAGCTGTTTGTTTTGATGAATGCAACAACCAGCCTCCAGTTTATTATACCTACAAGACTGTGATTAATGCTGCTTCAGAACTATCAGATTTCCTGCTATTACACTGTGACTTTGAAGGAATTCGTGAAATTGGTCTGTACTGCCAACCTGGAATAAACTTACCCTCTTGGATTTTAGGGTAATATTTTTCATTGCTATTAATTAGCAATAACTTACTCTAAGCTAATTGAAAGTTTTTAGTACAAGAGTATATTGCAAGTTACTGTTTTATTTACTACTGTATTCAGTGAATGAATGAAAATAATGGAGAATGTCTATTAAAATTGAGATATGAAGCCAAGTACAGTGGTGCTGGCCTGTAATCGTAGCAACTCAGGACGCTGAGGCAGGAGAATCACAAGTTCAAAACCAGTTGGTCTCAAATACAAGGATGGGGATGTAACTGAATGGTAGAATGCTTGCCTAGCAAGCTCTAGGCCCTGGGTTCAATCCCCAGTACAAAAAAATAAAACAAAGCAAAACAAAACAAAAAACGCCTATTTAAACAAATGATTATAAAGTGTTTAATCAGTTAAATTGTTCTAGGATGTTATCTTTTTGTGATTTCTGTTTTAGGACTCTGCAGTAAATAAATGCAGCCAACTAATTAAAGTCAATATTCATCGCATAGTATATATTAATTATATAATTATAAAGTAAAAAATGCTTCAAAATTTACTCATTGACAAAGGTTTATTGAGAATTTACTATATGTGAAGATCTAGTGTCTCCCAAGTGTACCTCAAGAGTGTTTTTACTTAATATGACTAAATGATGTTTGATCTTGTTTATATAATATTGCTATATACAGAAATTTAAAGGTGGGTTTTTTTTTCCCCTTAAGGTGTCCTAATTTAGGTGAAGTATGCATAATCTGCATACTAATAAGTTGGATGTGGATGTTTAGCTTCTTTTATACCTGTCTGCGTAGACAGAAAAAGAAAATAGGTTTTGCTACTTTTTTGGTATTTTAGTAGTGTCCAGTTAGTCAAGGATATTATGCTATAATATATTAATGTTTTAAAAATCTTGTATTTCTTTATATTACATGGTAAGAATTTAATATAAAATCTTATAATACTCAGATAGTCATTAAGAGCAAGATAAATTAACCAAAGATCTGTCCATGAAAACACTGGGAATTTTTGGTAAATAGTAATGTACATAGAAAGATAGAAATGCTAAAAGGAGGATTATATTTTGTAGACATTGTATCTGACTCTACTGGCTTCTTTAGAATTCTCCAGGTTCCTGCCGCTTATGCTCCTATTGATCCAGATTCACCACCATCATTGTCAACGCATTTTATGAAAAAATGTAATCTAAAGTATATTCTTGTTGAAAAAAAGCAGATTAATGTAAGTCTATGTGTTTAAATTGCTTTTTTGATGTTATATTTATCTTTGAATTTAAGAATTTCCTCCTCTCCCATCTTAATTTTTGAATTTTCTAACTCCAGCATGGTGAATTAGTCAGATTTTCAGTTGCTGTGACCGGTACCTGTTAGTAACAACTTAGAGGTGGAAAGGTTTATTTTGAGCTCACAGTTTCAGAGGTTCAGTCGGTGATTCAGTGACTCTATCTCTCTGGGTTCAAGGTGAGGCAGAGCATCATGGCCAAAAGTTAGGTGAAGGAAAGCTGCTTACTGCATAGCAGCTGGGAAGGATAGAGAGAGAAGAAGGAGCTAGGGGACAATATATTATTCCCAAGGGATGCCCCAGCCACCCCACCACCCTACAGTTAACACCCAGTTAGTCCTTTCAAATTATTAATCCATCAAATGGGTCAATCCACTGATTAGGTTACAGTTCTGCTGATCTAATCATTTTACTTCTGAACATACCTGCATTTATGCAGGAGGGACTTTAGGGGGACACCTTATATCCAAACCATTACACATAGTTTCTCAGGCTCAGTTTTATTGACAGTTTGGGTGGAGTAATTGTTTATTGTGGGAAGTGTCCTGTGTATTATTGAATGTTTAACAGATTTCTTGCCCTTCTCTCACTAGATACCAGTAGCACCTCCCAGTTGTGACAATCAAAAATGTCCAGACTTTGCCTCATTGCCAAATGTTCTTGTCACCTTCCACCCCTAGCTCTCCATTAAGAGCCACTACTCTATGGCATGAAAGTATCCCCTGATCTTATGATATCTGTGCATTTTTCAGGATTTTCTTTGTGTTTCCAATGTATTTCCTATACTGGAAAACTTTTTTTTTTTAATATTTATTTTTTAGTTATCGGCGGACACAACATCTTTGTTTATATGTGGTGCTGAGGATCGAACCCGGGCCACACGCATGCCAGGCGAGCGCGCTACTGCTTGAGCCACATCCCCAGCCCTGGAAAAATTTTTTAATACTTGAAATTTTGATCTTTGATTATTTATGGAAAGCACATTGGTCAAAACATGAAAGAATTATAATCAAGCTTAACATTTTGAAAAATAGATTGACACATAGACCAAACCTTTCTGGGAAATTAACTTCATAATTTTTTATTTTTAAGTGTCTGTCAAGCAAAAGTGTAGCTAAGAAACATTGATTTGAAAACAAGAATTAGTATTACATATTCAGCAGTGTGAAACAGCTCATATTT